ATTTATTTATTTTTTTAAAATGGTTTTTTGATATTAACAGTTGTACATGTTAAATACTTCATCAAATGATAATTTTATTATTTATTAAAAATAATTAACTTAATAATTTTTTTAATCTACTTAAATTAGTTAACTAACTATTCTTTCGGTTTTAAATATAGGATATATTTTGTAATGTAATATAGAATCCATTTTGTAGTGTAAATTACATTATAAAATAAATTTTAATTTATATTTAAGACCGGATAAGAGGAAGAACTCTTCCGATCCTTAATATAAGAGTCATTTAATTAATTTGATTAGATTAAGAAAGTTAGATAAGTTAGTTAATTATAAGAAACGTGACACGTTTTTCCTAAAACACCATAATTATCTTTCTTAATACTTTTTCTTTCTTCTACTACTTGATTATGATTGAGGGAGTATCTATAGAGATAATTTAGAAAAAATTAATAAATATAAAAAATGAGTCTTATATTTAAAACTAAAACTAACTCAATAATTATATCCTATATTAAAACCAGGAGAAGTATTATATCAAGGATGTATCTTAACCATGTAAGATAGCATATATTTTGATTAGGTTAGAGGTTTTTCTCTCAAAATAAATAAAATTATATTATATACTTCACATCAGCCGTGATGGAATATATAAACACACGCGCATGCGTATGTATGTATGTTTCCAAATTTCAAATCTCACTATGAATCTACCTTTGTGCGGCAACTTTTTTGGAGCAGCCAACCTGGCATATAATATCTAATTCTTCCTATTTTTTCCTCTCGAAATTAGCCGTCAATGTCCTTTTCTGTTTTAACCATCTAGGGAGAACTGAAAAATTGTCTCTATCATACATATAATTTTATTTCTTTTAAAATAAACAAACAGTAAATGATCAAATTCGTATTGAAGAATTTAAAAAAAATCAAATTATTCACAAAGGCACTAATACTATTGTATTTTAACTATTTTTCTATAATACTCTTCTAGTAATTAATATAGAATCTAATTGTTGAGTTGATTTTAGTTCTAAATATAAAACCTATTTTTCATATTTATCAACTTTTTTTAAATTACGTCCCTTAACCATAATCAAGTAGAAGAGGGAGGTATGATACTAAGTAAAATAGTTATGGCGTTTTAAGAAAAATATATTATATTTCTTATAATTAATTAACTTACATAACTTCCTTAATTTGATCAAATTAGTTAAGTACAAGAACTAGAAGAGTACCAAGAATGATTAGTTAAGTGAGTGTTTTCATTTAATTGCATAAAAGAAATTTACATTAATTCCTGGGAAAGCTTGATGAAAGTGATCTTCCGAAATAAAGAATCAAATATTGGACTATTAATAATGGTTGCATACAGATGGAAAATTACGAGGGGAGAAGGTGATATATAGAACTCCTTCGGTCCTTAATATAAGAACTAATTTTTGAGTTGGTTTTGGTCCTAAATATAAGACCCATTTCTCATATTTATCAATTTTTTCTAAATTACCCCTATAGATATTTCCCAACCATAATCAAGTAGAAGAGGGTGATGGGGTATTAAGAAAGATAATTATGGTGTTTTAGGAAAAATGTGTCACTTTTTTTTATAATTAACTAACTTACCTAACTTCTTTAATCTAATCAAATTAATTAAATAAACCTTATATTAAGGATAAGAGGAGTAATTAGTAGCGAAGATATTTATCCAATATCATTTAATGCATACTGACTTGTGAAAATGCAACGGCTGGAATGGTTCCCAGTGTACTGATGGTGAGAGGGGATAAGAAGGATTATCTTTGAGACTTTTCTATTTTTATTTCTGTTATCATATACTATCTCTGTTTTTTAATACAAACTCAATTAACTAATTTTAAAAAAAATTAAAAAATTTGCTAAATTATTTAATTATAACATATGTTAAATTATCTTTTTAAAATGTTCACGTAAATCATTATATTATATTACCTCCAGTCTTTGTATAAATACTAGTTTCATTTTTAATTTGATTCTAAATATGAGATTCCAGTCATCTTTATCTTTTATATTTATTTATTTTTTTTTCTAACTCTTACACTACGGACTGGAGGTAGTATATCAATTTACAACCGAGGCAAATTAGCTTAAAGAAAAATAATAAATATAAATAATTTGAAATAATTCGATGATGTCTTGTATTAAAAAACTTCGTATGTTTATTCAAATATAATTTTTTTGGCCGAAACTTCAAATATAACTGATGAGATGATAAGTTTGATGATATCACGTTGTCGTTGGCCGTCACTGTCTGTTTTGTCTGTTTAGGTAACCCGTGTTGTCACCATGTCCACGGCACTTATGGTCCTTTGTTCTTTTACGGCTTCTCATCCAAACTACCTTTTTGACAACTGTCTTCCTGCTTATCCACTCATATGCTAAATTGCTAAGCAAGTGAGCCAAGCAGCCCACTATGAACAGTGTGAAAGTTCATATTATTAATTCATAATTACGATTATGATTCATCAAACTGGCTAAACTGATTTAATATGAATGTTGAGATGAATTTTTTCTTTGGCTGAGCTTCAAAAATGGACTAGTGAAGCTGATATGGATTAAAAAATATAATACACGTACATATATAGGGAAAAAAAAAGTGAATAAATTAAAAATCAGTACAGCCAGCCTGGAGAAAAAATATCTTTCCTTTAGACCTTTTTTTTCCAAGAAGCTGAAAACAACTCACTGTATAATCACCCGCGAGAAGTCTCACTCGCTTTTTATTCCTTCTCTCCTAAATTTCTCATTGTATTGATGTGGACCCTTCTCTTATCGCTTTTTTATAAGTTGTGGGTGGACCCTTCTCTTATCGCTTTTTTATAAGTTGTGGGTGGATTTGACTTGACATGATGAGAAAATAAAGAGAGGTATCGTATTAAAGGGAGTTGGGACGAAAATGATATATCTGTCTGTGTGTATAAAGGGAAGGACCCATATTTGAATTTATTATGTGAAAGTTTTGGGGTCAATGATTTATCGTATATGGTGGGAAGCTCCATGACATAGATGCATTATCAAGACACACTCGTAACAACAAAAATTGGTTCAATTGGTAAGGAGTTGACTTATAATTCACAAAGTCATGAATTGGAATCCCGTTACTGATGTAAAGATCTTGTTGATGGGCGATCTATAAAGACTTTTTAAGCTTAGAGACATGGCTGCTATGACTCTAATAAGTACCTGAGACTTAACTCGCATGAACTCTCTTGTTAGTGAAAAAAGAAAAAAAAGAAGAAGAAAAAAATACACACACGTACTATGTAATAATCATGTCAATATTCTGCCTTGGAAATCATATTCCAAATTAATCACACAAAGTAACCAAACCTATAATCACGATAGCCCAGCCCAGAGTGAATCCATCTGACCTTTCCTCATTCATGCGATACCTGGTCATTAAATGTGAAACACAGACCAACAAGTGTTGGGCTAAATAGAAAAAAAGTTGAATACCTTAAACATCATGTGTTGGGTTTAATCTTTAGAACGGTATGAAAAAAATACTGTTGAAAAGAATCCCTATTATAACGTTTGACACTTTCTAAGGGGTTAGTCTCTTGCTATTCGGGTAGGAGGATATTTTGGACAATTAAACCAAAAAATATGGAGCACCGGTGGGGATAATGAAGGAATGCTCTCACAAGGTTCTTTCTTTTTCTTAACGTAAGATGAATTTTGCTACAATTTTTACTTCTCAGATTTTAAAGCAAGTAAATATGTAGAACACGTTTTTAATTTGTTCTTATATTTACTCGTAAACTGCCCACTCTAATAATATGAAATATAAACATTTCACTTGTTTTTTTAATATTATTTTTTTTTCTTTCCACCTACTCTTTACACTTTATTATATGAATATACAAATCAATTCACGCACGGACTTTTCTTATACGTTTGCAGGCTGGATGGGCAAATTTAAAAATTCTGGATACCGGAAAGATTTTCTTGTGTGAATTTACTCTAAAAGTTTAAAATTATAACGCTGATAAATGAAAACTTTCGAGCATATTTGCATCTCAATTCTATCTATCTATATAATACTACTGCTTCTTGTTTTTAGTATAAGAGCTAGATAACTAATTTGGAGAAACTAAGAAAATTAGTTAAATTGATTATTTGTTACAAATTTATATTAGTCTCCACAAAATATTGGTTTCAATCATGTATATTGGATGATTAGAATTATCTTTTGGTGAAAATTTTTTACAATAATAGAAATATTTTAGAAAAAACGAAAGATAAAATAAATTAAAATTTTATATTTAAAACCAAATTTATTTTTAAATTGGCTCTTATATTAAATACCAGAACTAGTATAAACTAAGGATTTTTTTTGGGGAAAAAAGAACTCGCGCGAGCACACATGTCCAATGCTTGCACGTCCAATTAAATTAAATCCCCACGGCCGGGAGTATTCCCCAAGTTAGTCCAGTTAATTTCACTCACATGCATAAATTACAGAACGACTATGCATGCACATGCTGCCGGCTGCCAAATATTTTCAGGGGCCGTTTTGATATAATTAAGGCCATAAACAAACCTTGATTCTACAATAATAAGAAAGAATTAAACTTGGCAACATACCAGGATCAAAGTCATATACTGATCATATACTGAACTTCAAAATCCAGAACTGAAACAATCATAAACAAACCTGTGATAAACTGACGAGAAAAAGCAACATTAATCAACAAGTTAATTATAGTCCATTAAAGTTAATTCTACTTAAGTCTTAATATTTCATATTAATGCCCGAGATCGCTGCTATATATTCGGAGCCATGAAGGAACCATCACCACTGGTACTTACTGTATTCCAAGATTCCCATGCTTGATCGATCTCCAACATGTCGTCGTTCAACAGGGAGAGATACAAAGACGACTCCGCCGTGGTCATCGGCGGTGGCTCTGAATCGATCAGCCAAGTGTTCTTCTTCTTCTCCGCCGCGACGGCGACATTCTGCCTCAGCTGTTCAACACGCTCCTTGAACTGCATGACTTCTTCCAAACCCATCTCCCCAACCGAACGGTTCCACCAGAACCCATTCTCACAACCCGACCCGGTAGTCCAGCACTGAGGGATTTCTTTTCCTCCTCCAACACCTTCATGGCCTCCTCATATTCCCGTCTCAGCGGCGACATCGCCCATTCTCTTTCCGGATCATGAGCCGACGTAGAGTCCGACATCGAGGAGGATGCGCAGGAGAGGTAGCGGCGGATGACGGCGTCAGGGTCGGGGTAGCCGGAGGAGTAGACCTTGCCGAATTGGGAGAAGACGACGACGGCGATTTGAGAATCGCAGAGAAGGGATAGTTCGGCGGCTTTGCGGAAGAGGCCTAATTTGCGTTTGGAGAATGTGACGAAACGCTTGCTGGTTTGTTCCACTTTCTTAATCTCGATCTTGCTCCTACCTTTCCCAGGCTTTCTGGTTGTTTTAAGTGAAGAAGACGAAGCCATTGCGAGGAAACAGCGATATAGAGAGGGAAGAGCTAAAGAAGGAAGAAGGAAGCGGGAAAGAAATTGAAGTCCGAGTTGATAATATATATGTCGAGAGGATCTATAGGTGTCCGAAGTAAGCAAGGATAAATATTTTTGTGCTGAAATATTTATTTTAATTTTTTCAATAAAAATAGTAGATCATAAATATTTAATTATGAAATATTGATATTTATGAGGGATTATAAAACTTCATAGAATACTATTGCTGATCAATCTGAAATGAAGATCTAGCTTTGATTCAATTTTGACTCTGCCTGAAGTTTCAACTTTCCTAATCTTATTTATGAAGTTTTGATCTTATTTACTTGCACATAAAGATTTTCACCATCACACATCACTCATAGCATCTCGCTTCAAGACTATAGTTTAAATTTATTCAAAGCTAAGATAATAAAAATTCGACATTTTTTTATCTCTCTTTTGCTTATTTCTTGATGTTTTACATATCATAAATGGCAATTTATATTATACTACCTCTAGTCCTAATTATAAGAGCTAGTTAACTAATTTGAGGAGATTAAAAAAATAAGTTAAGTTAGTTATTTGTAATAAATTGATGTTGTCTTTCCTAAAATATTCTTGTTAATCAAGTGTGTTGTCTATAACTACCATTATTAGAAGGACTATTTAAAAAAAAATACACAAATATCAAAGACAAAATGGATTGGGATCTTATATTTAGGATCAAAATAAAAATCAAACGATGTCTTATATTAAGGATCGAAGATAGTACATTCATGTGTCAGTTATTGCCGTGATGAAAAAATTGTGAGCATTTTGGGTAATGCCTTTTTTTTGTTGGTCAGCACTGGGTAATAATTGATTTTTCTTTTTGCCGACATTGGGTAATAATTGATGGGCACTGTGTATGTATGCATAATTGCATATGCACTGGAGAGAGAGAGAGATTACAAAGACAATGGGCTGTGTAGTTGCGGCCCAATGAGGTGCGAGATGGGCCCTAATTAGCTTTATGGGTATGCCTCACCGGTTCAAATCTCGGCCCACAAGTCTGCATGTCGAAATGGGATTGAAAACTGCTATCGAAACAAGCTACCCTCAAGGGAGATTACAAGGATAGCTATTATTATATTTGATTTTAGGCTGAATAAATATTCAAATAAATTAAATTGAGCTGGGATGAATGATAAGATCAATGAGGACAACATTATAGTCTCACATTTAAAAAAAGGGGGTTAATGTGTAAAATTGTGTCGAACATTTTTACTTGAAAGTGCTGAACACTAAAGTTTTTCAAGTGCAACTTTTTTTTAAAAAATTTAAAATTATCATAATATCACTCGCTACCATTAAAAAAAAACTAATTTTGACGGTTAAAATAGTAATGTTAACTATTAACATTTTTAATTATGAGACAATATTATTATGAATTTAAAGTTTCAGGGTAAATTTGCACAAAAAAAACTTTCGGGATGCTCCCAAGTAAGAGTTTTTATGACAAATTTACACCTTAATTTCTTTAAAAAAGATGCTCTGTGTTATTTGAGTTATAAAACCCGAGTCATCAATGGTATATAACTCAACCTACATTAAATGGAGATGAATTAAATTTACTTTTCTAAGAGGGTGTTTGGCTAACCCCAGAAATGCTTTTTAGAAGCACTTTTTTGTAAGTTGAGTCAAATTCTTCAACATATTTATTTTGTATATCGTAAAAGCACTTCTGAAACCATAATTTTATTCTTACCCAAATACCTCCTAAATCTAAAATAAATGTCACCTCTTAATGTAACACTTTATGGCCATCATCATTTTAGATTATGAATGTAAGAAGAGTACTATAAAATACTACTATTAAAATCCAATAGTCAAATACATAAATTTTTTTGAACAATCTCTCTGGCGTTCTTACTCTCAACTTGAAAATTTACGAATGTGTGAGGTATAAATATCTGTTCATAGATGTTCTGGGGGGGGGGGGGGGGAAATCTGTTCATAGACTTATGCTTACCAACGGCATAAGCCACCTCGCCTTTGAGAATTTTCACCGCTTTTTAAAGTTGCACTGAATGAGCCCTGCAGCCCGTCCAAACACATACGCATGTAAAATTATACTGAGTAATAAAGACTTAAAATAATTATATCTTAGCAGAAATTAAGGCATAAATGTCTGATGATACACGTATAAAAATAGACACATTAATTAATTTGCACGTTTATTAATGCATCCGATCCTTAATACCACCTCGGGTCCTAATTATAAGATCCAATTGGCTAATTTAAGAAAATTAAGGAACTTAGTTAAATTAGTTAATGATTAAAAAATAGCACCTGTTTTCCAAAAATACCCTCATCAAATTTTAAAAAAATATCATGCACGATCGCGAGCCATTTTTCCGATCATACCAAATCCCAGTTTGACTTTTATTTTGGTTCTAATTATTAGACCAAAATTCACTTTGTTTTTTATATTGATCCTTTTTTTTTCCCAAAGTAGTCCATGTAATAATAGTAGCTCTAACTAATACACTTGATTACTGAGGATATTTTAGGAAAGACAATATCTATTTATTACAAATAACTAACTTAACTAGTTTTCTTAATTTATTTAAATTAGTCAACTAACTCTTATATTAAGAACACGAGGCAGTAGTATGTAAAAAATTAAAGCCAAGACATTGCATTATAAGGTGGCGTTTTGGAAGCGCATAATAGCTATAGGGGGTTTTAAAAGATAAGCAAGCCGACTATTCCTGTACTTTACGGGGCGCTTCACAATTTGATTAATTACGCTAATTGACTCAAATTATATTTTCTTTGTTGATTAAAAAGAAAGTTAGTTTTAATTTTAAGTAGTACTCCTCCGGTCCTTATTATAAGACCCAATTTGACTTTTTATTTGGTCCTAATTATAAGACCCAATCCATTTTCTCTTTTATATTTATACATTTTTTTCCAAGATAATCCTTCTAATAATGATAGTTTTAGCTAATATACTTAATTAGCAAGGATATTTTAGGAATAACAACACTTATTTATTATAAATAACCAACTTAACTTACTTCCTTAATCTCCTCAAATAAGTCAATTGGGTCTTATAATTAGGACCGGAGGAGTATTATGCAATCATGTTGACATATTTTCATTCGATTGGCTAAAAGCCATGCCAGCGATATAATATATAAAATAAATTTACGTGATTTAGGTATTGACCAGTAAAATAAATTTAATTTGCGTTTAAAAAATTTAGATTCTTTCCCCTATGTATGGAATCTAAAACGGAATCAGGTTGAAATGAGAAGCAAACATGTGGAACTCGTGAATTCTTCAAAAGTTAGGTACTTAGGTGGTTCAACACACGGTTTTTGATTTTTACCGGTCAAATATAGAAAAGTTAAATGACCACTCTAATGGAATAACTCTTTAATCCCATGAAGGGTCAAAGTAAAAGCAAATCAATGCTGGCAAGCTGGAAAGGAAAAAAAATAAAATTGAATGTTGCCATAATTGCTTATATTTTACCAAAAAAAATCCCGTCTCCGTAGTTTTTTAATCACATTTTTGTTGGTTTTTTTTATTAGATCTTTATAATTTCACATGATTTTTAATCATATAATTATAAACTGAGTGATAAGATTAAATTTCAGAAAATTTCACGTTAGTCGTTGGAATATAGGTTTTAGTCTCACTGTCATATTATAAATAATAATTTTTGTTTTAAAATTAATTTATTATAAATGAAAATTAGTTTTATTTTTTGGAACAAGCCTGTTCTATTTATGAGATTTACTTAAAGGATGTCTTAAATTTTAATTAGTTTTTTTTATATTTTTACTACATTAATTATATGTTATTATGTTATATTACTATTCACTACATTAATTCTCGGTGTATTTTTTTTAATCTGTTTATTCTCTCTTCCATTCACTTTCACCTTCCACTAAATGACAGTATTTTTGAAAAGTAAAATACAGTTTTTTGGCCAATGGATAAAATACAGTTTTTGCATATTGAGTTAAAGTATTCATTTGGTTTTCTAAGTCTACGTCTAATTTTAGCTCAATGCCTTAAATTTATAAAATGCATTTTAAATTTTTTTAACATTAATGCTATTAGTTTAATTTAATAAAAAAATGCTAACTCAGTAAATTTGAATATCGTATGATCGTTATTTTTCTATTAAATGAGACTAAGAGTGCAAAATTAAAAAACTAAAATATGCTTTATAAATCTAAGAAACTAAATTAAAACTTAATATAAATTTAGACCATGAAAATATATACTCTTCAGTTTCTTTTAACTAATTATTTTAGAGGAAAGATGCATCCAGTATTCAAAGTATTTTCTCAAGCACATTCAGCATTTTAAGATATTTTGTGATGCTCAGCACCTTGAAATATTTCTTTAAGTGCATCTAGTATCTTAAAGTACTCCTCCGGTCCTTATTATAAGACCCAATTTGACTTTTTATTTGGTCCTAATTATAAGACCCAATCCATTTTCTCTCTTATATTTATGCATTTTTTTCAAGATAATCCTTCTAATAATGATAGTTTTAGCCAATATACTTAATTAGCAAAGATATTTTAGGAATAACAACACTTATTTATTATAAATAACCAACTTAACTTACTTCCTTAATCTCCTCAAATAAGTCAATTGGGTCTTATAATTAGGACCGGAGGAGTATTTTTTAGTGCATATAGCATTATAAAGTATTTTTTTAGGTAAGTTCAACACCCAAAATCTTTTTTTAGTACACTAAAACAAAAAAATACTTTAAAAATACTAACACATTTTAAAAAAATATTTTAAAATTATGAATGTATTGATGCACATTTTTAATCTAACTAATTCTGTTATTTGCATAGATAACTAGGTGGCACTGGGGGCAATACCAGCAAATAGCAGTAGGGATAGAAGTCGATGGCCCAAAAAAAAAAAAAAGAGCGTAAAATGGCATAATGGTAAAATCGGCTGCCATACCAAATCATTCTTGCTTCATTTGCGCATAAAATCCTTGAAAAGCTTTTATTTCTCTTCATTTCAGTTCAGAAAGCTTCCGTTTTTTCTTTTCCTCATCAGAGTCTTTCTTAAGCAAAAGAAATTTTCAGCCTTTTGCTCATAATTTTTCTGCGCGTTGTTTTTCTGAGGAAAAAAAAGGCATAATCTTTTACCGGTTCTGGAGAGAGGGAGATGTGTGGAGGTGCTATCATCTCCGACTTCATTCAGACGCCGGGGGCCAGGTCTCGCCGGCTCACCGCTGATTTCCTCTGGCCGGATTTGAAGAAATCCAGTGGGGGGAAGCGATTCTCGAAGTCCACTAGGTCTGCATTCGGAGATTCGGACGATGATTTCGAAGCTGATTTTAGGGAATTCAAGGACGAGTCCGATATCGATGAGGTGGATGTGGATGATGATTTTCTATTCGATTTCAATACCTTAGGTTTCTCTGCTGCCAAACCCCCGAAGCCTTCCAGATCCCGGTCTCGTGGTAAATATTTCTTATGACTTCCTTCCAGTTCCGGTTATGTTGATATGATGGTAAAATTTTTTAGCCAAATATATGAGGGTAAAATTTGTCGTATAAATTTTCACATGCCTTTTTCATTTTTTTGGTTTAGTTCATGCGTCATTTGGTTGTTATATCCTTGATGCAGCTTTTGATTCTGCTTCATAGTTGTATTAATGATCACATGCAGCATATGCTTTTTTTTTCTTTTAATTAAACAATGTATTGCCGCTTTCGGAACTTTTTTTTCCCCAAGGTATTATCGGGAAAAGTTGTATTTATTTGGTGAATTTTGATTTTTCCTTCTCAGTCAATGACATGAAATTCAGTTTTCAAAACAGTTTTAAGGCTGTTTTATGATCCTGTAAGCCCCCTTTATTCACTAGTTATTAGATTTTGTAACCGTATAAGCTTAGCTTTATTACTTCGATTAATATTCATTAATAAGTTTTTCCTTTCCTGGTTAATGAAACATAGTCCTACTTTCATGCCTTGCACATGCACTCCATGAATCACTTGCAAGAAATTATAAAGCATAGAAATCTTGTGGGTCCACTTTGAAACGGCTTCATTTGCTTGCATAATAGTATCTTCAGAACACTATTGCGGAGTTCTGAAATGTTTATGAAATCCTTTTGAAACTGATGTCATGCTGTTTGATTTCGTTTTTGCCTTTGTGCACATATGTAAAAGCAGGAGTGTGGTTAGCCTAATGGGAGTTGCTTCTGACGACCACACTATATATTCCTATCAGATTGCAAAATCTACTTTATAGAGGTAGATGCGGTTCCTTTTTGCAGTGAAAATCTGTGTTGTTGGTTTCAAATTTTGACATTTGTGGATCAAAATATACTTTTATATTGCCTGTTCATTAAATGAGCTTTAGCGGTGTTTTAGTTGTGATATTGCATTGAATGTTCCTAGTTCTTTTGCTTTTGTTTTGATTGTTACTCTAATATGTCATATTTTCCCAACAATTGGCTGTCAAGACCCAAATAATATTGTGTGCTGTAAATTACTAAGTAATGAGTTGAAGTAAAATACTCTGTAGGGGGGTTACAAGCCGTGCTTGATTATAGGAACGCCTTCATTTTACAGCAATTTCATTAGAGATCAGTCTTTTGTCATTTAATAGGCTATTTACTTCAATCATCTCTTACTCTGTATGTGTTTACGTGTTTATTTAGATGCGTGAGTTGGTTTTTCTTAATTTTAGTCTTTTAACTGGTACTGTAAATGTATTGTCCCTGCCTTGCTCATATTATAGTTTTTTCCCTTTCCCAATTACATTGAAGGATCTGGTGCTGTAAAATCTGTGGAATTCAATGGAAAAGCTAACAAGTCTGAGAAAAGAAAGAGGAAGAATCTGTATAGGGGAATCCGTCAGCGACCATGGGGAAAATGGGCAGCTGAGATCCGTGACCCAAGGAAAGGAGTCCGTGTCTGGCTTGGAACCTTCAACACTGCTGAAGAAGCAGCTAGAGCCTATGATGCTGAAGCACGGAGGATTCGTGGTAAGAAAGCCAAGGTGAACTTTCCTGATGAGGCCTCAAGCTCTCCCCCAAAACATTACAATGTAAAACACTCTGTCCAGCCCATTATGAACCAGAAATTCAATTTTGAAAACAATCCAAAGGACTATGTCTGTCCTCTGGGTCTGATGGAGCAGAAACCACTGGTTAATCAGTATGCTAACATGGGAGGTTTACCCAGCAGTGCAGATGGGCTCACATCTTTCACGCCATCAGATGATGTTAATATGCCTGTTTGTTTCAGTTCGGATCAAGCAAGCAATTCGTTTGATTATTCTAGTTTTGGTTGGGGTGAACAGGGCCCAAAGACTCCCGACATCTCGTCAATGCTTTCTGCTGCTATAGAAGATGAATTTCAAGCTGTTGACGACGCCAACAAGAATGATAACATTCCTAACTCTCAGAATGTGTTGCCTGTGGAAAATGATTCTGCAAAGACACTGTCTGAGGATCTTGCAGATATTGAATCCCAGTTGCAGTTCTTTAAGACACCTTACCTTGAAGGGAGCTGGGACGATGCTTCATTAGAAACCTTGCTTGGTGAAAACACAACTCAGGATAGTGAAAACCCAATGGACTTTTGGAGCTTTGATGATGATCTTCCTTCCATGGCCGGGGGAGTTTTCTGAGCAACTTTCTCACTGTCTCCTTAATTTGTAAATAGGGTTACAAGTTAGTATTTTTTTCCTTTCAAAATTGTCTTTTGGTTCTATAATTTTAATCATTCATGGACTAAATTAATATGGCCCGCAGAAATTATCACTAATTTGAATTTTGTTCTTGAAAAGCCAAAACGTTTAATGGAGTCCGTGATTTCTCGAGATTGGGGACAGCTAGTCCTTTGTGAGTCAAGGAGACTGAAGATTTTTTTATTTTTTTTTATTTTCAGGTAAACCCCGAACAAGTGATGTTTTTGGGGACCAATTGTAAATACATTCTTCATCATGAAGTATTCTCGGTTTCTGAAATGAATACAATGCTTTGTTCCTTTTATTGGTTTTCAGGAATGCTGTTCATCTTTGTTGGAGATTGAGTCGAGACGAAACAGACCCTTTTAAGCATGTCTGGATGGTTATTCTGTGGACGCCGGTAGCAAAGCAAGTGTGGGACTATGGATGTGTAGGAGTACATGTCAAAGACCTTAACTCTTGGAGATGTTGAGTTTACCGTTCATTAATGAGGATGATTCTATCAAATGTGTGATGCAGTAAAATGTTAACTTGGTTGTTTTGATTATGGTCGGTCAAAGTGCAGGCCATCAATTAACCCATTTTTGAATAATTGATTTGGTTCTGTTCAGAGTATTGCTTGCAGGTCTCTTATAGATAGTATTTGCCTCCATCAATTTGAGTGCTGGAGGAGGTGTTTAGTCTTTTCGGCTTCTTGAAGAGCTGCAAGGGAAAGACACAAAAGAGGGGAAGGGAAAGAAAAACGGACGGCGACGGCTTTGCATTTTTGGGGGTTCTTCCCCTCATCAAATTTGAATGTTGAAAATTTCAGCGAAGTTAAGCACATATATCTGAATCAGCCATTGGCTGAGGTGGAAGACTTTCATTAGTTCAAATTCCAAGTTAGTGTTTAAAGCGGTTGGATGGGTAGAATAACTGAAGTAAAGAACGTGAATAATTCAGACAATGAGAATTATCAATCAAAGCGTGGTGACAAGTAAATCAACAACAATCCACGGGGTTTAGTTGGGTTCCCAATGGAAGTGGAAGACCAAGTATGAGAATGAATCAAGGAGGTCTGAGCCAAGAGCTGTGGCGGCCATGCTGATATGAAAGGTCGCATGAACAGAGCACGAAGGTTGTTACCCACGATATTTCTCCGAATTGAAGTGCGTGATGAACCAATCAATTAGCCCAAGAGTCATATTTTTCTATGTCATATAGGTGGTGGTAGTTGACCCGCTAATGAGGCACCATGGGACCACAGATCTTGTCAAATATAGCGTGGATGAAATGTTTGAAGCACTAATCATGAAGGAAAAAGCAGTAATTCAATAGTGAAGGGAAAAAGCATGAAAGGGACAGGTTGCGAGAGGCTTCACTGAGGAGCATGTTAAAAGGTGGGGTTGGACGAAATTAAGGCGATGAAGATAACTGATGAAATAACATTAGAATCCTAGATATACCATAAATAAGATATATCAAATGTACATAAATAATAGGATCAAGGCATATATTTCTTTCCGTTATGAATATAAGAATCATTTTATAATATAATTTATACAATAAAATTGATTTTACATTTAGAGGGAAAGTATTATTTTACCCATTAAAAAAAATGAAATCTTTATATGATAGCAAAATGGAGACTAGGTATGAAGGGGGCTCAAGTTGCACGTGAAAGGGCATATTGCACTTCCACAACACAACACCGTCGCTTTCTAGAGATTCCCTTGCCGCTTCGTAGCCTCCAAGGCTCGTGCTTTCATTTCCAACCACTTCCCCTTCCCTTTTTTCTTTCTTCACTATTCACTCTTTGATTCATTCACTAACTAATTAAATATAGTATGAGGCATTTTGATGATTTTTTTAAAAGGCAATTAATGTCTTTCTTCTAAAATATCTCTAAGAATATCTTAAAATTATTTACAACCCTTCGTTATTATGGTTCATTTGAAGGACACGGTTGGAAAATTCTAGAATATTAACCACCTCCAGGTAAGTATGCTTGAAGTGAAAATACCTTATATTTACAATAGTATAGAATTGTTTCTTATAAAAAAAGGCGGATGAAGTATTATTTGTTTATTTGTTCTCATATATTGAAAATTATATAGTGTATAAGGGTCTTATATTTAAGATGGGAAGAGTACTTTTTTTTTCCTTAGAAAAAAGAATAACATAATTGTTAAACATCCGTATAGTTATAACCAACTCGAGTCATGCCTTTTATGATTTTTTTCCATCCAAAAATTAGTTTTTAGAGTTTTGATCAACTTTAGTCAAAATTTACACTTTAATTAAATATCATTATCACATCATCTATATCATTTCCGTCGAAGCTGATCATTATTTTAAGGATTGATTCCTCAATAAATGAACTATAAGGAACGTGACCCAAATTTATGAAAACCATAATAGAAACCAACATTAAACTATGGTTTTCCAAGAAATTAATTTCCTCGAAGATATCATTCTCAAAAGTGTGCTATGCTATATTGGCAGCGTAGCCTAGCATGACAACTTTTGATTTAATTAACCTTGTTGGATACTGTTAATCTCCGATAATCAAGGCCGCTTTGCAGTTTAATCTCTATTGAAATTAGTACTTGATGGTAACACAGGAATTAAACAAATTATTATTTAAATATATTCCTTATAGGGAGGTGATTCCCTTGGATTTAAAAGGAGTGTGAGTGGTCAATTTGGAATATTATGATTAATTATGAGAATATGAATTTTTTTTTTCAAAAAAAAAGACGAGACTTATCCCTTGCCGTTTGGATAATGGAACACAAAAGTGCCTCCTCCCCAGGCTCTTGCAAAAGGCAAAATAAATAAATGAATGAATAAATAAAAATCGCGAAGAAGCTGAGGCAGCCGTGCTTGTCATCAAATATACATTTGGTAAGCAAAATCTTGTAAACTAAAACACAATATTAAAAAACAATAACATATCATCAACAAAATCTGCCTACTTATATATTAATGTTGTTTTGTAATGTTTTGCTCAATTAAAAATTTGTCAACTTGCAAGAATGCTACAAGCAACAATAATTTTGTTTTGGGGATCCTCTTTTGAGTTTCGACAAAATAAGTTATACATATGTTGACATCATGTTAAGAACAACTCTTGTCAAAATGTTCGAAATATAAATCAAGGAAAAATTTTGATTAAGGACGGCAGATGGAAATTAATTTCAAACAGCCCTAAAAAAAATCTAAAATTTCAGTTAAGGATTCTGAAATTTCACTGAAGGATTCAAGGGGCAAATTGAAATCAATTGCTGAAGCCATTTTATTGAAATGCCCTGCGAACTGTATCTGCTGAAAAGGAAGAAGAAAGAGGGAAAAGAAGAGATTGGTGCGTGAGATAAACCGTTTTCCCGAAAATTTTTGTTCTATTGAGCATAGTTGGGTTGTGATAGTTGAATAATATAGAAATAAGTATTTAAATACATGTGTAAGTAGGTAGTGACGGAGAAAAAAAATCTAATATAGCTTTTAAATTTAGAGAGAGATTGTTATCTTCTTCATCTTTGAAGTTAATAAACATGAGGTGTTAGTAATTTTTGAAAAGTGGGTGAGAAAGGGTGAACACTGACTGTAATACGTTGTTGAAGGAACTTATGAAGAGAGAACTAAAAGGAAAATAGGTGAATATGCTGAAATGGGTGATATGAAAACGAAATGTACAGAAAAAATGCATAAGGGTCTTATATTTAAGATTGGAGGAGTAACTTGCAGTTGTGAAAATATGTATTCGGATTGTAAATTTGCAATTGGAGTTGTGCAGGAAAATGACAATTTAACGTTATGAAAATCAATATTTCTGTTGTAAATCCGTAAATTCCTGTTGTTAACGCATACTATTTATTATTATTGAAAGTTGATTGAAATTGACAGTTAAATGATTTGCAGTAACAGATTATAAATGGCTACTGGTGGCGGAAAACAACTATTTTGTAGAAGTATGAGTTGAATAAGTGCTTATCTATAAATGTATTATTTTTAGATTTCAATCTTGTACTTCATTATGTCTCTTGTTTGATGGTTCTTAATATTGTGCAATAGGAAAAACTTAGTTCCCTGAGGTCAGACTTGGTGGCAGCTCATTACTCATGCAAGAAATACATGGTTGACAGCTGTTGTACAACTACTTGCAAAGATACAAAACAACCAAGAGAAAATTGAAGAGGGATCTGTCAGCTCAAGATGTTTTTTATATCAGCAAAGAACGTGTTACTTTTTACGCATAAGGATTACCCACAATTTCTTTTTCAGTGCAATGAACTATATGTTATGTATTTATTACATGTCTAGTCATGATAATATATTTTTTCCCACAAATTTCATACTTTAAGTGTAAATATTGACTAGTGGAATTAGAGAATTTGCAACAATAATAGCTAAGTTTACAACAGGGATTCCTGTTTTTCCAAGTAGTTTTTCTAAATATAACTGAACCATCACACTAGAGTCTGCCAAGTGTGTTTATGATAGGGTTTAGACAATTTGCAAAAAGCGTTGAGAAATTTAGAATAGGAACTCGTGTATTCGTAAGTGGACTTACGTAATTGACAACAGGAGTTAGGGAATGTGCTAAAATGATACATGCGTTATAACAGGAATTAGAAAATTTGCAAAAGTAATACATCAATTAACAATAGAAACACATCTATTCAGAAATGGATAACATCTTTTATACATTTACAATTTTACCAACCAATTTTAGCGCAGAACTTGGGATAACTTGTTGTCACGTAGAGTCATGAAATATTTCAACTATCAATTCATTATATGAAAAAGATTATAACCCATCACCAAATATGCCCACTTACTCTCGTGCACTGTCCAACTGTGACGCTTGTCTCAAGTTTTTTCATTGTTGCAAACATAAACATGCCAACTATTATCGTTGTACTCAATTAATTGTCCTACTTCAATATCATTGATAAGATCCAAAAATGTTTTCCTGCTCAAACTAACTGTATACTTCATTTTATATTGACTACTGCCTGGCCAAACATCATTTGCTACCATACTTTGTAGTTCTTCATATATCATTCCTTTTCTCATCAATCTGCTATTTATAATATTCCTTTCATATACCAATTTTCCTTCTAAGGTCTTCACAAATTCTCCTCTCATATGGAAGATGCAAAATAGTTGTTTCCTGCCACTAGTAGCTATTTATAATCCGTTATTGCACATCATTCAACTATTAATTTCAATCAACTTTCAATAATAATAGACAGTATGCGTTAACAACAGGAATTTGTGGGTTTACAATAGACATACCGGTTTTCATAACATTAAATTGTCATTTTCCTGCACAACTCTAATTTGTAAATTTACAATCCAAATACATATTTTCACAACTGTAAATTACCATTTTTCTGCACATTTCATTTTCATATCACCCATTTTAGCACATTCACTCATTTTCCTTTTAGTTCTCCCTTCCTAAGTTCCTTCAACAATGTATTATAATCAACATTCACCCATTCTCACTCACTTTTCAAAAATCACTAATACCTCATGTTTATTAACTTCAAAGAAGCAAAAGATAATCATCTC